CGATACTATGCATGCACAAAGGAGGCGGTGGCGGTGTATCGGGTATCGTTATCGGAGTCATGGGAACGATCTACTAAAACTCTCTAATAGAGAGTTTTAGTAAATCGTTCCGATATCTCCGCTACCCCCGATAACGATACCTGATAACAGACCACTAAAACTCTCTACTGCATGCGCGATGCACGAAAGTTCGTTATATGGAGGTCTTTCTTTCAAGTGCAGCGCTCGCGTTTGCTCAAGACTATACCCGTTTTCACGTCCACCTTTATGCGGAGAATTAAGATATATGTAGGTGAATTCTAGATTAGATGTGCGTTATCTAATTGAGACGTGCACGTTCCAAACGCCAAAAGCATCGCCTTTTCCTCCGACAACCAAATTTCGTAAGAACTACTTCGCGCCGCGCATGAACAATGCGCAAAACTTGCTTGTCACTTGAGGTGAAAACAGGTATATAGTAGTAGCCTATGCGGAGCGCAAGTTCGTCTGCTTCTTGCACAGGGTTCTGATTTGAGAACGAGAGCTCTTATTGGCTGATTATAAAAAAAAATATAATGGGTAGACCATAAGGAGTCTAGCATTGAGGTCTACCCACAATCTTTTCAATCATAGCCAATCAGAACTTGGTGGCATTCTGACGTCCCCGCAAGCACTGCGCAAGTAGCAGACGACTTGCTCTACGCATAGTAGCAAAATGTATTTGTTAGCAAAAGACAAAGGGCTCACCGGATTGCGACTTTTTGTTTTTCTGCAATTGCAACAACGTTCGTGCAACAAAGAAAAAAGAATCGCGGAGAGCAGTTAAGGGAACGTTGAGCTGAAGTGCGTGGTGTGTCCATGGGCTTTTTCTGCCGCACGAGACCGAGAGTCCCCAAACAGGATCGCCCCATGCATGCGAAACGAGCGGGCGCACCGCCGCTCAAAGCAGGCAGGTATAAGCGACGGCTGGCGCTTTAAGCGTCCAGATGCACAGTCAACTAAACGACCAACTCGTCGGGACGGAATGATCTGGGATCACGGCCCTCCAAGCTCCCCGGTGCGCTATTGGCACAACGAGAACCTAGGGATTTTAAACACGTAGCACGTCCCGTCGGATGCTTTGTCGTGCGTGTGCGTTTCGCCGTGCACGTACAAAACGTGCTGTGATGTGAATCAAGGGAGACTTTTAGGAGACCGAACGCTAGCTTGGCGTTGCTTGCGGCAGTTCGTGACGTCACTTTGAAGCATGGATCGAGCACGCGCCCGCCAGGCTTGCAATGGTTAACGAACCCCCCCCCCCCCCCCCCCCCCCCTCCCTTGGTTGGTGTGATTCTGAACCAACTGATGGCGATGGGATCGGCTTTCAGACGCGTACATAAACGCAATAAATCGTGTGTGGCGGTGCTTCGATACGGTGTGGTATTTTTCCTTCTCTTGAAACTGACATCCGTGGTTGTTCACTGGTTTCTTGATGCGCGAGGTTTCTGTGGAACGCAGATCGGCTGCACCAGTTCTCGTGCAAAGGGAGCAGTTTCCTACGCCATGAGCTCGGGTCTCCAGCCAACGAGGTCATAACAAAACGCAAAAATCGTCCTGAGCTAATGGTGAGGCACATGCTTGACAAAAAAATAGTAATGGCTGTGGATTGGCCAGTCTCAGGACTTTGCGGCAAACGTCACAGTCAGGCCTCACTAGCGTCCACGAGCACGCGTAGACCACTATCACTGCGACTACAATGTACGGCAACGACACGATCAAGGCCACTCAACTTGTCCGCCACACTAAGGACACATCGAATATGAGCATAAAAAAAAAGTATGAAGTGAGAGCACATGAACTGATGCACTTGTAAATCATTAAGAAAAAAAAAGAAGAAATTGACATATATTTTTTTTTATGCGCGGTTGCGGATTTGTGGACGTATATTTCATGTCCTGATCACATCCGCTCCTTGACGTTTGTTAAACAGTCCTTCCTGAGACGCCCGTGGGATGTCTGCCTGACGTCGGCTTCAGGATGTGAGACATCCGCACACTTTTGGGATGTCTCCGGGACGTTTGGTGTTGTCTTGGTTACTGTTGTATACGCCAGCACTGTCAGCAAGTGTAACTACATGCTCCTATGTGCTTGGGTAATTTAACAAAAGGCCTACCATTTTTCAACAGGCCGTTCTTATGTTTAGCTGGCCAACATGACCCAAATTTTATGGCTCTACGTTGCACTCGCCGGCCGTTATTCTCTTTATCCACGCATTTAACTATAAGGAGTATTCACTGGGCGCCATATTTGTGAGTGCTGTCTAGAGCGCACGCTCAGAACGAGCCCCCATTAATAGGCTGCTAAGACCGGCAATCCTGATGGTGTGGAATGCGCGTTGCAAAAGAACCGTGTAAGCTCGCCATCAGCACGCGCTCAGCAATTGCGCACACAACTATGGCCGCCAGTGAATACTTCCTATATTTGGGGCAACTTCTCTTTGCAAGGAAGCCAACGCTATGGGTGCCCGTTCGCTCGATACAATCTGTGCTCATGCGGTCTTCACTCGGAAATGTCAGAACCCGTTCGACGAATGCAGGGAAGACAAAGGCAGCTAACTTTATAGAAGAATCTGGAGTTGGGCAAGTTGATACATCTTAGATTCGAAAAGCGCCAGAAAACAAGGACAACAGAAGGAATAGACGAAACGCATCGTTTCGTCTATTCCTTCTGTTGTCCTTGTTTTCTGGCGCTTTTCGAATCTAAGCTAACTTTAGATCTACGCACTAATCCTTCCAACCAGAGCTCGGCGTTCTTGACGTCCACGATCGCTCTCATCTCCCTCTCTTCCTCACCGAATCGGCGCATAGATGTCAGTGTTTTAGCACGTGCCTGTGTTACTAGCCATACCCAGAAACGCATGCAGGTGCATTTGCTAACACGAGTGCCAACGATATTAAATCAACTCAGTCACGAAACCGCCCATAGACGCCGCTTCCACCAGAGAAGCACGCCCTCTCCCCCCCAAGGTCCGTATCCCGTCGTTCGACGAACTACTGTTTCAGGGGATGCCAGTTGCTATGGTGACTACAGTTACGCAGGTTTTGAAGCAAGGTCTAAATGGCCCTACACCGTAGAGTCTCCGAAAAATATAATTTTGAAATGCCGCCTCTAGATTGATGTTACAACGACGGGTGACGGACGTGCCTGTGGGGAGAAGGATGTACCTTCCTTCGCGGACGTTCCATAACTGAGTTGATCTAATAACTCTGACCAGTGCACAGTTCTACGTCATTGTGTATATGTATCTTCTAACTCGAGTTTTATTCGCATCTTGACGCACAACATAGAATAATTTTATGAAAACAATTTATTATACGCTTTAATGCATTTGAGAATATACGTCACACACATAGAAGTCTGCTTAAAAAAGAAACACGAGGCCCGGCTTCCGCATCCTTTGAAGCAAGGGCAAAGATTCGAAGCGGCGCTCTTACTAAGAACAGAAAGGGGGACCTCCGCGACCACGACCATGCCAGAGCGAGTCAACAATTCAAAGAGACACTCACGTTGATGCTCTCTGTAGGAAAGACCTTCAATCGTCGAGGCTCAATCTGTTAGTGCAAACGACATCCCTCGGAGCAGTCGGACAGCCGGCGGCGGAAGTTGGGTGTCGTTGTTAGCGGCGGCCGCAACAGCCATCGGACCGGAGCGCTGACAGCCCACGAGGACGGACAATCTCGACAGTCTCGAAGAAGAGACAGGACACGGGGTGATGGATGACGATGGAATGATTTAATGGACGAGCCAGCCAGTGGAGCTGTCTGCCTCATTGCGCCGCTTCGTAACAACATAACTGCAACACCAAAAAACACGGACGGGATGGTGTTTGTAGAAATGCTGGATAACTTAGGCGGACCTCCTTGTCTCGCCCACTCAGTTGATGAAGATTCACGCGCACGCACGAACATTCCTGATAAACTTTCACAGTATCCCGCGTATACTCCGTTCACCCTTAAGCTGAGATTGTAGCCAATGCTGCAAGCACGAGATCACGAGATCTCGGCTTTAAAATGTTCGTCCGCAGAACGAGCGCTTGCGCAAGAAAGGCATCTCTCAAAGTTAGCAGCGCGGGCTATAGCTCACGCTTGCAGCTTTCGATGTAGTATCAGCTTAAGGGTGAACGGAGTATTAGCGGCGAGATGTTTTGGTGGCGCCCTCCTATGGTTCCCTCTCGTGACGTAATTACCTTGCGAATAACAAGTTCAATGATTTTTCTAATCAATATGGTTGAAGCTAGAAATCATTGCGCTCTGGAATCAACACTGCTAACATCGTCAAAACTTAAGCTCTTACATTACTCTTACTTCTGTCGACGGGAAATCCTTTGCTGACGGCAGAGTCAGCATTCAGCCAATCGTGGAAGGCCGACCGCAGCGACGCTTTGGATCACACACGTCGCCAATAGGAAGTATTTGCTGGACGCCATATTTGAGGGAGATTTTTAGAGCGCATGCTCAGGACGAGCTCGCATTAATAAGCTGCTAAGACCGCGGCAATCTTGAAGGTGCGGAATGCACGTTGCAAAAGATCTGCGGAAGTTCTCCGTCAGCACGCGCTCTGCAGTCGCGAAAACAATGGCCGCCAGTGAATACGCCCTTATTGGCGACGTGCGCAATCGAAAGCGTCGCTGTTGTAGGCCTGCCGAATGCTGACTACGTCTGCAAAGGATTTCTCATCGACGAAAATAAGAGCGATCTGAGAATTTGAATTTTGATGGTGTTGGCAGTGTTTCTTTGAGAGCGCAATGACTTCAAGCTTCCACCATGCCAGTTACAAACACCATCGAACTTGTTCGAAAGGCAATGACGTCACGAGAGAGAACCATAAGAGGGCGCCATCAAAACATCTCGCCGCTAACAGCAGTGGCAACAATGCTTAAAAGCGCGAGAGTTTAAAAACTGCGGGGAAACGTGTTTCACTTCGTATGCTGAAGGACCATTATCACTGGATCCCATGGCCGGTCGTTGTCAAGGAACCTCCCATTATCTAGACACATTCGGCGGTGTTGGACAGTGGTTGTCTTTCGTTGTTCCCGGAGCCGTGACAGGTACCGACGTGGAACTTCCCGCGGACCGCGGCCCCGGACGTTTGGGGAGTTGGACCACGGCTCTTAGCGTCAAGGAGACCGGCCTCTGCCTCGGCCTGAGGCACGGCAGCATAATGGCCAGCTCTCGCCGAAAGCTCGGGTGACTCAGGCCGTACACAAACGGGTCCAGCACGGCGGCCGACTTGCAGAACATGGCCGGTGCCATGGAACCCCAAGGCGTCAAGAGGTTCCGACGGCCCGTGATGCCCAGCAGCGCCACGATGGCGTAAGGCGTCCAGGCGACTGTCCACAGAAGCACCAGGGCCAGAGACACCTTGGCCACACGAAGTTCACTGCGACGGCTCTCCTGTGCGAGCGCCTTGCGGCTACGGATCACGGTGACGAGGATGCCGCTGTAGCAGGTCGTCACGAAGACTAGCGGCACGCACCAGGCGGCCACGAAGAAGATCCAGACAAAGCAGCGGTCCGACGTCGCATCGGACAGGAAGTGGAAGCTGCAGCTGGTCAGGAAACCCTCCGGCACGTAGGGGCTGGTCACTCCCAGCAGCGGCCAGGCGCTGAAGCACAACGCGTAGATCCAGGAGGACAGGGACAGCGCGAAGGCCCGGGACCGCGTGAGGCGGGCGAAGGGGTCACGTGGCCGCCCCAGGGCCAGGTAGCGCTCCAGCGAGAGCGCGGCGATGCTGAAGATGGCCGACGTGCCGGAGAGACCGCCCATCAGGCCGTACAGCTGACAGCCTGGGAACGGTAGTCGTGACTGTTATCCCAAAAGGACACCATATTTGAGGGCGATGTTTAGTGCGCTTGTTCGAAACGAGCTCACGTTATTAGGCAAGCTAAGACCGGCAATTTTGATGGTGCGGAATGCATGTTGCAAAAAAACTGCGGAAGTTCGCCGTCAGCAAGCGCTCAGCAGCGCCGCGCACACAGCTATAGTCTCCTGGCTGGTCAAGTCATCCTGGAGGAGAACCTGGCCGTTTTTTAGAGATACTTTGGGTCTTGGGTTTTATTTAGGAAAAACGAAGGGGTTGGTCAAAGTTCATCTCCGACAGATTGCTTCTTCGGAAAGTGAGGAGGACATATAAAAATAAAAATGACAGATCTTGTCAATAAATGTCCCCACTACTGAAAGCTTGTGTTTTCGCTCGGTGAACATACATCATATTGTCTCAATGTTTATCATTATTAATATAAACATTTCAAGTTAATTTGGTCTTGAACTTTCAATTTAGGGTTGAGCGAGATTTCCAGCTTTTTACAGGTAGGCATTTAGTGAAGTTACAGGCCGCACAAATGGCATTCCGCCAAATGCGTCTATTAAACGAAGATATCCTGTCCTTGGTGATGTTGTGACGGTTAATTAAATAACACACTATAGTAAACAAAACTTATATGCGCTTGATAGACCTAGCTCTATCTGTCTTTTACATGAGTTCTCGTGAATCTTCCCGCGAAAAGCAACTCCCAAGTTTTTTTTAATGCTTTAAAATTAGCTGATGTGTATATTAACATCAAGACTAATAGCCATTTCTGAAGTTTACCGAGAACAAAGTATAGAATCGAGGAGGAATTTTGAGCGGGAACAATTAAATAAAGTTGGGGTTGTTCCTAATTGGTTATGCCGATCTCTCGGGTTTTGTCTTGCATGATTTATATAGAAACAGCTGGCTTTCCAGACTAAGTTGTGTACATCGCGAATTTATAGAAACGGAGAATCTCTTACTTTGCTTTTAATTTTCGCCTCGCTTCATTGCAATATGATTTCTTGAACGCGTTCACGTATACTTTTCCGCAGTAAGCCTTCACGCGGTCCGTATTGTTTTACAAAGAGAAAACGCTAGGGCGTTGGGGTGTTTTGGCAGATCGATGCATACTTTGAAACGCGAGCAGGAACCAGTATCGAGCATTCCAAAACAAATTTTTTTTTCAGTTCACAAATGACGACGTTTTTTGGTGAACCGCGGGCAATTGGAGGCAGTTTACATACAGACCTCAAAACGTTTCAATAACGCGACTTTCTTTTTTTGTTTTTCACTTACTTTTTTTAAGCATGAAACGCGTTTTAACGTTACCACCAATCCTACAATTTCGTCCGTCCATCAGTCCACTCATTCATTTCCCGCTAAATTTAGCGGGAAATGTATGTCCCCTGACCTATACACAAATTCAGTTTTCCTGCTAAATTTAGCGGGAAAGTTGATGTCACATGACCTGACGTCACGGAGCCAACAGACCAATTCAGTTTCCCCGCTAAATTCAGCGGGAAAGTTGACGTCACATGACCTATACATCAATACAGTTTCGCCGCTAAATTTGGCGGGGAAATTGACGTCACATAACCCGACGTCACATTGAACCACACACCAATGCAGTTCCCCGCTAAATTTAGCGGGAATATTAACGACACGTGACCCCACGTGACCAGACCTTTACACGTCACCTACACCATAGAAACCTGTATACTATAGTCTTCTAAACGAGTTAAAATTATAAATTCTTAAATACTGCTTGGGAGAAGAGCGTGTTGGTTCAAGTCATGGATGAAGAAAGAATAAAACAATTAAAACTAGGACAACACAACCACATCTTTCATTGATGATCTGGTTGTGTTGTCACAAAGATCTGGTTGTGTTGACCCAGTTTTAATTGTTTTATTCTTTCTTCATCCATGTCTTAAATACTGCATTTCACGCATCATAGAACTTTGAAAGATAAAGGTCACCGCCAATGTTTTAGTGATATTTGTTTATGCATGTCTTAATAATCGCCCCCTGTCGGTCAACCTCCAAAATTATCCTTCCTCTTCTTGCCTTCTGTCATTTATATTTCTGTCGTGCTCCTGACGCAGGACGCACGTCCTATGTTTTCAGAACGAGAATTTCCAAGACCTTCGATACTGCGCGAGTCGCACAGTATCGAAAGTCTCGGAAATATAAAGACCTTCCGGTGTTGGTTTGTTCGTTCATCGACGCGACATAAGTGCAAGAAGTTCGTGGGGTACCTTCCCCGACTGGATTCGGCATTCCCTTCGGCTCGGCAAACAGCGAGTAAGCGAGGAATCTTCGAGCGATGAGTGTTTCCCCGTCTCAAAATGCGGCCCATGGCAGTGATTTCGTGCGTCGTCATCGGAAGAGTATATACTTTGCTTTTTGATGAACGAAGTTCGCTTGTTTCAAAACTACAATGAACGCGAAGGAGCGAAACTGCCATCTCTACGATTCGGAGTCTAAAAATCGATCGACAGTGATCCCAGCGCAACGTTCGATTAGCTTACAAAAAGGAATAACTGGTTTGAATCCCTGTCATGTGCTCGACATTAATGGAACATATCGTGACAGATTCGCGCCAGTCGAATGTAGGCCAAAATGGTTATGAAACACTGGTAAGGCTGTAACGTTAGTCAAAGAAACATTACCGGCGCTCCACAAGTCCTTGCAATCATCGTCGGCTGTTGGAGCCCAAAGAAAATAGCAGATTGTTCCTAAAGAAGGTTTGGTGTATACATTTATGATTCATTGACCTGAACAATATAAGTATATGGTGGCTGACAGTGTTGCTCAATGCATTTTCGAAAAGGGTCTTTTGGCTCAAGGTTGCCTGGTTATAAGACGATGGCTGCTCTGGTGCCGACGCCCACCGTCACGTACGCGACGCTTATTGCGCTGCTTGGTGTATCCCATTGGTTCATGCGTCGGCTGCGCTATGACTCAAGGTAATACCGAGTTTTACTTCCTTTCAAAAAAGTTTTTCATGTCCTTTTTTTTTTGTAGTGGATACGTTATATCTTTTTGTTTTTTATGCGCGATAAAAAAAGAACTACTTTTTGAAAAAGAGGCACAGTTTATTTCTAATCGCGAAGAAAAGAAAAAGAGCTATACAGGTGGAGCCAGTAACGACTAGCAGTAAATTGATAATCCAGACTGCCCAAATCGGTCGTTTGATAACGCGAAGAGAAAAGCAATGGAGAATAAAAATGAGTTTCAAACTTCATCGATTGCAGGTAATCTGATATTTTTTGTAATAACTAACACTCAAGTCCACGTGAAACTCAACCCTCGAGCCGAAGGCCATATCCAAAAGACTGCCCTGACTGCCTTGCCCCAACCCCCTCCCTCTCTCTCTCTCCGAAACACTCTTTAACCTGAGTTTAAGCTTGTTTAAACGAGAGTCGTTATGAAAAGAATTCCGCAGAGCTGCGAAGATAAGCCCATAAGCACCGCTCCCCTGGAATCATTATATCAGACGATGCCTCACCGTCAGGTATTCCGTTGAGAAGAAATCGCCGTTCTCGAGAATCGCTTCGGATATCTAACGAGAGGTGCTACCCCAAAGCAATTACTTTGTTGCATGTTTTTTAAGGGGATGATTGTTTTTAAAGTTGTAATGCAGTGCTTTATCGAAATAAATTACTTCTGGAGCGTTGGGACGTAAAAATGTTAAAGATAGCTATTTTGTCGTATATTAGTTTTTTTAACGTACTTCGAGCTATTAATAATAATATATAACAATAAGTTTTTTATTTTCATTAAATGTGATGGCAGGACTTGAGGAAAATAACTGCAATGTGCAGCTTGACTGGTCCTCGGGCCTCTACAATTGTCAGCAGCAACGAAACGGAAATAATAATAATAAAAAAAAAAATTACGCACAAAAAGCAACAACTGAAAGTTACATAACTACGCACCTGGACTGTTAGTGAAGCAAATAGACACCCACAAAAAGACACAATTAAAATTTACATAACTATGCACTTTGGCCCTTTAATGGAGCAAAATAAAACAGAAAATTGAAAGCGGGTACAAACCAGGAGAAAAAATACAAACGCAATTCTTTAGAAGGTATAGAATCAAAATCTACATGATTCATATAAAAATCATTTAACAAGTGTGGTAGGAAAAATTTAAGCATTCGAAGACCATAGTTCGTTCGCTGAGTGATTATCTTTCACTTCTCTGCATCGCGAGTGGGGTATTTTCCTGCTAACATGTAAGGTTTTCTAAAAACATGAGGCCCGTATTTTTTTCCTCCTGAATCTAGAACATAGTCTATAATCGTATAACTTGTAAATAGTAACGACCTTAAAATTTCTAGATATTTCAGAAGTGTGAGCATCATAAGAGACACTACACTGGTCTGTAAGTGCTGGTAGTTAGGAGAGGACAATATGCGAAAGGTGGTAGCATCGGGAGCTGATTTCACTACATGAACCCTTGGGTCACGGAGACGCAATCAAAGTGCTAAACATGAACACGTCGTGGCAAGGATTAAAAGCTAAAAGATAAAAAAAAAAAAAAATACAGTGAAAGGTTACACAAGTGCTCTAACATCCTAGGGCTATTTTATTTCTGTGCAGAAATTTTTATAATTCTTTTTTCACACGTTTTAGCCACAACTTAAAGACACCGCAGTTCCACGTAGCTTATAAATCACAGAACACTTTATGCTTTTGAGCGCAGCTCTCAGGTGCCCGCTTCCGGCTTGATCTGCGACGCCGTCTCCGTCGGCGTAACTGCGCGTTGCATTATGGGACATTTTCCATAATGACGCTACACGTGACGTCACGACGGTCACGAGTGACGTAACACGTTTCCCATAATGACGTCACACGTGAAGTTACATGTGACGTCACGAGGGTCATGCGTGAGGGGGAGGAGTGAGGAGGAGAGAATAAGGAGGACGGAGAGGGAGGAAGAAAGGAGGAGGGAAGGAGGGAGAAAGGTGGAGGAGGAGGAGAGGAA